GGTATGGCGGCCGCCATGCCTCGCCATACTGGTGGCTCCGCCAGTGGTGAGCATTACTGTGAACAACAATATGTTTCTGTCTATACATATAAAAAAAATGCCTCCTGGATCAGGTCGGAGCACAACTCGAAGTAGTTTCGGAAGACTACCGGCCAGTGACGTGTTTCGCGCCATGGTTATTGTCATAGAAAGGTAGGGAAGACCCGATTATTTACGAGAAAGGTCGGGAGAGCCCGACGAAGTACTTGGAAGCCCGACGTTTTACGACGAGATGTAGGGAAGACCCGACGAATCAGATGGAGCTCTATTGTTTTACGAGAAGGGGTGGGGAGAACCCGACGAAGTATTTCGAAGCCCGTTTACTTGCACAGAGGGGTCGAGACGACCTGAAGAGATATTTTGAATTTAGTTATTTACATGAAGGAGTCAGGGAGGACCCGACAAGTTGTCTCAAGTTTCCAAGTTTTACGACGGGAGGTTGGGAGGACCCTGCAAGTCTTCTCAAGTTCTAAATTTTTATGTGGAAAAGTCAGGAGAATCTGATGAGTCATTTTCGAGCCTGATTATCTTAGTGCATATGTCAGAAAGGCTCGACGAGAAGTTCTGCGCCTCGTTATTTACGTAGAGGGGTCAAATCGACAAGAAGTTCCACAACCCGGTTATTTGTGCAGATGGGTTGGTGTGACGAAGTTCCGCACCCCGACTATTTTCTCAGAGAGGTTGGCATGAAAAGAAACTTAGCGCCCTAATACGGAGGTCGAAAAAGCTCAACAAGAAGCTCCGTGCCCCAAGTACATAAGTTAATAGGTCAAGTTCAGCTTTTATGATAAGTCTCTTGGGATTATTTTTTGTGGAGAGGTATCACTTGCTTGCATATCTTTGATAAACATAAGTTTAAAATGAGAAGAGTAGCTCGAGTAGGAAGCTCGGGCGTTACAAAGAGAAGCCCGGGTGGGAAGAAGCTCTGGCGCAGAAGCCTGAGCTGGATGCTCGGGTGCCACAGGTTTAAAAAGAGAAGAGAAGCCCGAGCAGGATGTTCGGGCGTCACAAAGAAAAGCCCGAGCATGCTCGGGTATCACAAAGAGAAGCTCGAGCGGGATGCTCAGGCGCCACACATTTGAAAAGAGAAGAGAAGCCGAGCGGGAAGCTCGGACATCATAGGTTTAAAAAGGGAGGAGAAACCCGAGCGGGAAATTCGGATTTATCAAGCTGAAAAGGAAATCATAGGTGTAAAAAGAGATGATAAAAACCCGAAACCCCCCGTCTTTTTCTTCCCCGTGTATCCACCTTTCTAGCGGCTCCTAGCGCCCCTTGATGCTAGAGGACATCTAGTTCATCACGCGGCCAGCGACGTGGGTTTGGTTTTTTTTTGTTCCATTTTCCTGAGTGGATTTCAAACTCTTTCAGTTTGCCATGGCGGGTGAGCGTGGTCAGAAAGTGTTGGCGGTTGCGTTCGACGGACGCTCCTGGTGGCCTTATGGCCATTGGGACGACAGTCGGAGCCTTGGTTTCCTCTTTTTATGTCCTTTCCTTGTATTGGGAAGGAGGGATCCTCGACCGTAGCAGTGCAGTGGTGTGGCGGCTCAGGTGTATGCGTGTG